ATAAATGCTTATTTAAGTAGTAAAAAAAATAGAGTTTATTGCACCAATACCCCCTCCAGTTTGCTAAATGTGCACCGTTACCCCTGATAATTTCAAAACATATATACATCATTGCCCCTGTGCTTTTAATATTCCTACATCAATGCCCCTCTAAACTAAAATACCCTTCAAATATTAAATGAATAGCGTTGGTTTTAGAATTGGTGCCCCCTATGGTTTTAGAATTGGGTACCAACACCCCCTCTCCTTTTTCTCTATTACGGAGTATTTTTCTTTTTTCTTCTATTTTCTTTCATCAATATTTTTGAAGATCTTTTTTAAAACTTTTTCATAAATGTTTTAAAGTTCTTTTTAAAACACTTTTTATACTACGTAATGATTTAATTATAAAAAAATTTGAAATAAAAAATTAATTAAAATAAAAATAATTAACATACACTTCATTTGTCTCAAATTAAATGACTTTCATTTTAATTATAAAATAAAAATAATTAACATACACTCCATTCCTCCTTTCTTTTTTGATCCGTCCCAAAAAATACTTCTTATTTTTATTAAAAAGTCACTTTTACCCCTTACTTTTTCGTACTCTACCTATCACCTAATACCTTTTTACTAATAATCTACCCATTAAAAATCTTACTTTTACCCATCACATTAAAGAACTTATGTGGAAATTCAATACCAAAATACACTTATTTTAAATCTCTTAAAAATCAATAACTCTCATGTTTTTAGGACCGGAGGGAGTAGTAGGGAAGAGCGAAATATTTGTCATATTTTTGAATTTTTATAATCAACAAGGGCAACCAAGATTAAATTTTGACTTATATTTTAAAAAAAATATGTTATATTAATTAAATAATAATAATATTTTAAAAATATTTTACAAGATAAATTTAACAAAATTATTTTTGATTAAGATTTAATATTTATTTTAATTAATGACTGTGTCGGAACGGAGGTAGTGTTTTTAATACCCAGACTTTGTTAACCTTTCCGATAATTATTCATAATTAGGAGTGCTTTTCTGGATGACTAATTTCGACTAGTTTTGTTGGACAGAGTATCAAGTGTCTCAATTTCATCCATTGTCACTCTACCACAACTTTGCCGTCCACGGAACTTTTCCGAATTAATTTATGTCCAATGTGAATGCAAATTTTGAGTTCTTAATTTGTTTATACTGAATTTTTTTTTAATTTTTTTATTAATCGTACTAGATTTTTTAATTGCAATATATTTTGAATACTCCCTCTAACTGAAAAACATTTTCTCACTTCAAAAAATATGTAAAATGTCATCTTTTTTATAATTATTTTATTTATAAATCGGTAGAGAAATAAAAAGTACAGATAACATATTTCAAAACTAACAAAAGAAGATTTGATTACGATTTTTTATTTCATAAAATAATCAATCACAACCAAAAAACAGAAAAGTAACTGAGACGATATTTTTGGGACGAAGAGCGTATTTTTATATTGTTATATTTCCAATTAGGTTTTAATTATACAAAATTATTTTCCTTGTCATTTTCTCTTTTTTTTTTCTTTCAAATTGCTAGAACCAAACATAGTTTAAAAATTTCTCATTACACCGTTTTAATTATTAAAATTTAACTTGGTTCAGAGAAGTCATTTTTGCCAAGCAGAGATCCGGAGTGGTATTTCTTCGGACCAAGGGACAGGAAATACCCAAATGGATTCAGAACAAACCGCGCAACCCGAGCAGGGTATTGGAAATCAACTGGAAAAGATCGGAGAGTGACGTCACAAAACCGGCCGATCGGAATGAAGAAAACATTGGTTTATTACCGTGGGAGAGCTCCTCAGGGGATCAGGACCGATTGGGTTATGCACGAGTATCGGCTTGACGATAGAGACTTCGAGGATGCATCCGCCGGCATTCAGGTGCTTGGTAATTGGTATACTCATCGTTTTACTCATTACTATATTCGTACCCATGCGTTGCACGGAGAGAAAATTTATTTTAAATTAACATGCAATATTTTTAAGAATTAAAGAGTATTTCAAAGAGCGGGACTAATTTTAAACTATTCCAAATTATTAGAAAAAACAATAGTATTTTCAAAATACTTCTTTATAAATCACATTAGAGAATCTTTCGAATTCTTAATAAGTTGATTCACCTAGAAAAGATGATGTAAAATTTATGTGAAAAACATGTGAATTCAAAGTTCTTAATAAGTTGTTTCACCAACAAAAGATGATGTGAAGCTTATTAGAATGCATGTGGAGCACCAATTACTTCATTTTTCAAAGAAGTTGTTTTGTGAAGCAACTATATCATAGCTATGAAGTCGGCTTTTTTTCACAGAAGGTACCACAACTTTGAAGATTGTAACAAAAAGGTACCCCATCTTACGTTTGTAACAAAAAGGTACCACATCTTTCAAATCTATAACAAAATCATACCCCTTCATCGGAATTGATACAATCTGGCGAATTTTTGATGAGGTGGCATCCATGTTGGCTTTCTCTCTCCTTGGTATTAATTATACCTTCTCTTCTTAGTAATTTTTTTCTTAAAAGTTTTAGAATAATATTTTTATGTTCAATAAATAACAAAAAGAACATGTTTCTTTATGAAAATATAAGATTAATTTAAATAAAATTGTTCATGTATAAAAATTTTTAAAATAACAATTAATTCTTTGCAAATAAGTTTCTTTTTATTATATTTGGAGAATATAATTTTTTAAAAAAATAAATAAATTCCATTAAAAAAATAAATAAGTTTCTTTGATGGGGAATGCATAATCCCCTCTTTAATGCAATTTATTTCTTTATTTTAAAAAAAGAAATTGTACTTTTATAATCCATGTTTAGAAATAAATTTAAAAAAAGAAATTATATATATATAAAGAAATTATATATATAAGTTTAAAAAAAGTTTAAAAGAAATTATTTAAAAAGAAATAGAATTTTTAACAATAAAGTATAAACTTATACTTTATATATATAAGTTTCTTTATTTAAAAAAAGAAATAAATTGCATTAAAGAGGGGATGATGCATTCCCCATCAAAGAAACTTAATTTTTTTTAATGCAAATTATTTATTTTTATTAATAAAAAATTATATTCTCCAAATATAATAAAAAGAAACTTATTTGCAAAGAATTAATTGTTATTTTAAAAATTTTAATACATGATCAATTTTATTTAAATCAATATTATATTTTCATAAAGAAACATGTTCTTTTTGTTATGTATTGAACATAAAAATATTGTTCTAAAATTTTTAAGAAAAAAATTACTAAGAAGAGAAGGTATTATTAACACGTAGGAGAGAGAAAGCCAACATTGATGCCACCTCATCAAAAATTCGCCGGATTGTATCAATTCCGATGAAGGGTATGATTTTGTTATAAATTTGAAAGATGGGGTACCTTTTTGTTACAAACGTAAGATGGGGTACCTTTTTGTTACAATCTTCAAAGTTGGAGTACCTTCTGTGAAAATAAGCCATATGAAGTCCCCCAAAGTAGGGGCGAGCGTGATACGGTTTGGTACGAAATTTGGTTCGTAGTTCGTACCAATGCCAAACCAAATATTTCGGTTCGGTATGGATTTTACATCCTATCGATCCCGATCTCGATCCCGAAGTATCGGTTTGGGATGTTTCGGTTTCGGTAAATATTGGATTGAATATATATATATATATATATATATATATATATATATATATATATATATATATATATATATATATATATACGTACTTAATTTACACTTTAAAATGTACAAAACTTTTTATTTTAAAAAATGGAAAGTACGAAATATAAACAATTAAAAAATTAATATTTAAATGCAAGAAATACTTAAAAAAACGTAATTTAACTTGTACTTCATATTTAACAGAAAAATTGAACAAATAGTTAAAAAAAATAGTATTTCAATAATGTCTATTAATTTTTTATATTCATCTACAAAAAATTAAAATTCAAATAAATGATTATTTAGATAAAAGATTATTTGTAATTCATCGATACTTGAACTGACTTTTCAAATCAATTTATTTTTTAATGAAGAATTATAAAAATATTGTTATTTTTATAACATATTTGTATATATGTTTGGTTTGGATATTTCAGTATGGGAAGTTAACTTGTGATCTCAAATACCAGACCGACTATTCCATTCGATACAGTACAATTCCCATTTTTTTAGTTTATCTTTTCATTTTCTCTCCTTTTTTCTGAAAAGGTCTTTTTATTTTTTTTAAAAATGTTTTATAATGTTTTAAGAAGTCAAAATTAATTGTATTTTAAATAAAAATAAATGAAATAAAAAAATAGCTACATCAATCTTAAATAATTTTTCTTTTGTTTTCAAATACAAAAAGTAAAAGCTTATTTGGAACTCCTCTTAACAAATATTAGCCTCAAGTTTTCACTAATCAGTAAGTTTTCTTAAGTTTTTTAAAAGTGTAATAGAGAAGAATCCTAAGTTAAATCCCAACCACAATCCATTGATGTCCTATTCCAGCAAGTAAGCGGCCCTTGATCATTCATTCTACACTCAGAGTCGTGACACTGAAATGTTTTGAGACCAGAATGAGGCACTCAAAGTATTGCTAAACGTAAACACGGTAAATAATCATCAATCCTGAAGAACATACCATAATTAAACACCACTTGCTAAGAAAAATGCATCCAAAAAAATTACTATGTTGAACAAAACTTATCAACCAATGTTTTCTGGTAAAAAATTTGAAAAATAAGAGGAAAATGATACTCAGTAAAAAATAATCAGTTTCATAAGAGCACTCAAAGCAAAAAATACATCAAAAGCTTATGCAACCATTTGAAATATCAAAGTCATTGTGAAAGCATGCGAAAATTCCACAAATAGTTTAATCAAAAGCCTAATCATAAAACAATTCATTCATGTATGGTATGTCGCAATTTTGGCCAATTCTTTATAAATTGTCAACTAATACACAATTCTGACTAATAACACTTCACTGTGTTTACAGGATTGTGGCTAGATTATTTTTTTTGAAGATTCTACCGAAACCATAACAATGATAATGTACTAGACTTTTTTCTTACCATTAGGCCGTTAACCAAATGGTTTACTTCGAAAGGTAAATACTATGCTATGGCATAAAGAAAGGTCAAACCCTGATTATGCAAATTGCAAGCAGTAAAGCTAAAAACCTGAATAAACAGAGTAACCCCCCCTCCCAAACAAACAAAGCAAATGAATCGTATGCATGAGCTCAGCCAAATCCTGACATTGACCATATTAAAGTTACCAATACTCGAACGACACCAAGTGAGTGACTGGGTGCTAAGAGAATAGTATTTTAATCAACCTCTTCTTCAGCAGTGGCATGACGCGCAGTCTTGCGATGCTTGGAAGCATCTTCAGGAACTTCAAATTCAACCCTTGCTCCATTATTTTCTGAATTTGGATTAGGAATTGACCATCTTCCCAATCCAGATCATCGTCATCTTCAATCTCTGGATTCAAATGATGAGTTTTCTCCTTCCAGCTTCCATTTTTGGTGGAGTGTTTTGCCCTATGCTCATTCCATCAGGAGTAGCATCAAATGTAGTTCTTGCCGTTTGTTTGTCCTTACATTTTTAAAAACACAAAGAAAAAGAGGGAACAACAAAACAAACCATTCTCTTCAACTGAAAGCCCGCTTTGTCGTTCTGAATCAATATGAGAACTGCTACCCATCACTCCTTCAGCTGCCACAAAAGGAAGGGAACAAAATGGAACACATCAATACCGGCCAAATCAATTAATTCTAATAATGATCAAACACATTACCAAGAGTTTCAAGTTTGCATCTTTTGTTCAAAGAACACATCGGGTACTTTGTTCAACTTGAAAACGGCAAAAATAAGAACATAAATATGCTAATCATGAAGTGAAATATACGTATAGCTTCATGTAAACACCACTTGCTAATAAAATTGCATCCAAAAAAATTACTATGTTATAGATTACATAAGAAAGCTCAACAACGTTAGCAAATTCTTCTGTGGTTTTTAGATTAAACTCATTTTATAGACCTTAGAATATAAAAGCCTTTGATGAATTGAGCTCTTATGAAAACATAAAAGATTTTCATATCAGCCCATGAAAAATGTAAGAAGATCAATATTTCATATGTAGACCTTAAAATCATGGAAGCACTACTCATTAAAATTACCCCTTAAAAATCACCGACCAGATTTTCTCGATAAGCTCAAATTGATAAAATTACGTACTTGACCAAAAAATATTTACTTGCAATGTAAGTATGAAGTAATTTAAATATACTCCGTAAAAAAGCAAGAACATAAATTCAATCCTTAATAACTTTAATATAGTTTATTCAACAACTTGTAATGACATACACATGGTAAGCATCATTAAAAATGCAAAGACATATCTTTGAGATAATAATTCACTTGAGGGTTTAATGTTGCTCCTCCATGAAGTATAGCATAAAATTAAATGATTGTCTCAGTGCAAAAAATTGTACATTCATCAGGCGCAGTCATACCTATTTGAAAGATTATACACCACCTACCATATTAGACAACAGTCCATATTCAGACCACTGCTACAAAGATTCAAGTTGAACCCTGGTCTAAGAAATATACTAAACCCGAAGAGATATGCCCTTTTAACCAATTAAAAAAGCATAAAGTATCATAAGACATGTCAATGAATTTTCTAAAGCAAACATACCATTTCAGAACCATTATCAAGCTTAAATAAAAGAGAGAAATTCCAATTATTTACCTCTTCCACTGCAGTTTCTACACCCACTTTTGTCACTTTCCCAACTGGGGAGGTCAAAATCAACATACACCCAACAATTACAACCTCAGGTCCCTTTAATAGATTATTACCTCGCTGTAAAAACCCAAGAACACCACTGCCCAATACATCTTCTAGGCGAATTTACTAAATTCCATCACCAGGTTTCACCAGGTTTTTCAGATGTGGCTACATCTTTTGAGTCATTTCGTCGAACACAAAGTGAGCATTGCTCATCCAAACCAATTCCTTATCTTCAACTACAAAATCAGACATCTATTTGAGTAAATATGTAAAATCAAAGATAAGAAGAAGAAGAAAGAGAAAATGAGGAAGTAGAAGACCTGCAGCTATAGGCAACCCTTGGTCGAGGCTATTTCACGCAGCCCGCCCCTTCTATTTTTTTTTATCAAAGATGGAGATGCTCGCTGCCGTTGTGCGGTAGTGGAAGAGAAACAGCCAGCGGACGGATAGAACCCATGATCCGGAAGAACCACGCTGCGGAATCCGACCGAAGATAAGAGCAGGGGCGCACGTCTTTGCTGAAGCACCACATCTGAGAGGATGAATGACACCATTGAAAGAAACCTAGATTTAAACTAGCACCGTCCAAGAGTATTTGTCCACTTTCATTTTTACACACCATCAAATACACTTCTTTAATCCATTTTATCTTGTAATTTATATATTAAAAAATTATAGAAATTATATATTAATAATCTATATGTTAAGACAAATCAAACAAGATCACACATGACTATATTTAGGCTTACACATTGAGAGAATTTGATGAGTCAAAGTGCTTAGATGAACAGTTCGAAAAGTCAAAACTGGACGAATACTCCGGGAGGGAGGGAGTATTAATCAGCGTTGAAAAAAAGAAACCTATTTTTAGAGTATAAATCAGGCCATATGAAAAGAAAATTAAATAGTTCAAGTAATTTTATATTTTTGCCTGTTTTTTGTACTTCTGTATTTTCCCTAACGGTCTATCGAGTATTATGCATAAATTAAGTGCTAAACGATTTTTAAACATAAAAACAATTAGAAGAACACAAATTTATCATGAACATTGATCTAGATCTTCGTATTTCTCTCTCACTCTTGATTTGCTACACAGAGTATTCTACTCCATGTCATGGAGTACCCTAGGGATTGCAACTGTCGTATTAAAAAGATAAAGAGGGGTGTTTATAGTTGGATTGGCATTAAGATGATGATCATAAGACAAAACAACATATATGTATGTGTGTGTATGTATATATATATATATATATATATATATATATATATATATATATATATATATATATATATATATATATATATATATATATATATATATATATATATATATGGGATCGACTCCAGTCAGATGACATCTTTCGGTTAGATGACACTTTCGGTCAGATGACATGCTTCAGAATGAGCATCACCTTGTTTGAGAATGAGAACCACCTTATTTCTGAATGAGCACTACACTGAGCAGACTGTGAATGAGTACTAAGTTGTTTCAGAATGAGTACTACGTTTATAATGAACAAATGTGTGAAAGTCAACCCTACGATGTCTTAAAATGAACATTACGTGGATTCAAAATGAACCCTATGTTGTCGTCTCGCTGGCTATGAATGAACATTACATTATGATGAACAGTTGTGTGAGAATGAATCCTACGTTGTTTAAGAATGAACGCTACATTGATTCAGAATGAGCATTCGTTGTCATCTGACCGAAAGTGTCATCTGACCGAAAGTCAATCCCTATACATACATATATATATATATATATATATATATATTGGTTCTGGTGAGAATGCAATCTTAGGAGAGAAATGAGAATGAATCTGGTGCTTTAGATTGTGAAATCTAAGGGTCAAGATTTCATCAAAATTAGATGCACCAAAATGGTGCGAAAATGCATCACGTCAAAATGCACCATAAACCTTCGAAAATGCACTATCTCAAAATCTGAGCGCAGGATGCAATCTGAGCCACACGATGCATCAGATCCGACGGCTAGATTTTATTCTCATTTCTCTCCACAAGGTGCATTCTCACGGGAACCGGCCCCTATATATATATATATATATATATATATATATATATATATATATGGGATTGACTCCAGTCAGATGACATGCTACGGTCAGATGACGCAAAGCTCACCACTAGCCACTGCAAAGCTCACCAAGGACAACTACAAAGCTCACCAAACTCTAAGGCAAAGCTCACCATATTTTTTTAACACTTTGAATTTTTTTTGAAAAAAAAATCAAAGGAAGTGGTGTTGACTGGAGTTTGACCATTGACCGTTGACGATCATCAAAGGAAAAGCTGACTGGATTTTGACCACCGCCGGCCGCCGCCGCCGATCTCCGACGCCGGCCGCCGACCTTCGCCGCCGGCGACGACCTCCGCCGCCGCGCCGCCGACCTCCGCCGCAGGCCGCCTGCCGCCGGCGACCATCTCTGCCGCCGCTGGTCTCCGCCGCGCCGCCGCCACTGACCGGTGGTTGACCGGTGTTGCTATTTTATTTTTTATTAATTTTTTAATTTTCAAAAAAAAAAGGTGAGTTTTGGTGTTCAAAGTGGTGAGCTTTGCCTTATTTCCAGGTGAGCTTTACATTGGCCATTGGTGAGCTTTGCAGTGTAATGTGGTGAGCTTTTTTATTTTTTGGAAAAAAAATCAAAGTGTTGAAAAAATATGGTGAGCTTTGACTTACACTTTGGTGAGCTTTACATTGGCCATTGATGAGCTTAATTTGCAGTGATCAGTGGTGAGCTTTGCGTCATCTGACCGGAGCATGTCATCTCACCGTAAGGTGTCATCTCACTAGAGTCAATCCCTATATATATATATATATACACATACATATATATATATATACATATCTATATATACATATGTATATATATATATATATGTATATATATATATATATATTTATAAAATAATGTGTTCCCACCAAATGGATTCACATAATGTTCTTTCCATCAAAAGATGAGCATGAGTGGGTTAATGGCTGGAATTTAGTATTGTTCTTTCCAACAGGATACATTTTGCAAATTCACGTAATGTTCTTTCCATCAATGAACTATTTTTCCTTCAAGAATATCATCAAAAGAAATTGCAATAGATGTCCATATCAAAAACTATAATGAATGGCAAAGCAATATTATCACCAAACAACACATATACGCCAGATTCAAGTTAATTTGTGTTGTTTATCAATATGTGTCTACATTACACTGTCCATTAGTAGTTGTCATGACACAACATTACCTTGATCAATCAAAGCCCAAATCTAAGCGTTAAGTCCCTCACGTGTGTCGTCGATAAGCACAATATCATCCGCGAAAAGCATGCACCATGGGACCCCTTCTTGAACACCTTGGGTTAAGACGTCCATCACCAAGGCGAAGAGGTGAAAAGGGGTCCCCTTTCTTGACCCCCCTAGTCATTGGAAAATAACCAATGGGCTGCACATTAATAAGAACCGAAAGCATGGTGCCTTTAAGGTTAGCCAAGAGAAGATCAATGACACGTCTAGAGAATCAAAACTTCATTAGAATAGCCTCAAGATAATCCCAACGAAGTGTGTCAAAAGCTTTAGCGATATCAATCTTAATTATCATGTTTCCACCGAAGACTTTTCTGTCCAGGTTGTGAGCAGCTTCTAGCCCTAAAAGGATGTGGTCAGACATGTTTTTACCTTGTTGGAAAGCTGCTTGATTTGGAGAGATAAGCTTAGGCAGTAAGGGTTTGAGCCTGGTGGAGAGAACTTTGGTGTTAACCTTTCTCATGAACGTACTAATAGAGATAGGCCTATAGTCGTCGAAGCGTTTAGGACTCTCCTTCTTGGGAATAAGGGTAATAAGTGTACTACCGTAGGCTCAAGGGATGGGGAACCCCAAGAAAATTTCTTGGGAGGCTTTGAGCATGTCCTCTTTGATTATATCCCAACAAGAGCGGAAGAAAAGGCCGTTGAAGCCATCCGGTTCTGAGGCGCTGCTACTGTCAAGCTCCCAAACTACCTACCGAACCTCCTCCATGGAAGGAAGGCTACTTAGCATGTTATTGTCACTGTCTGTTATAACCCAAGGGATATGTGAGAGGGGCTGAAGAGGGTTGGGGTGGAGATGGCCTTAAACTGCTTAGTGAAGTGTGTGGTGGCTTCCCAGCATATATCTTTTTGAGTGGATAGCCCTATTCCATCATCCGAGATAATATGGTTAATTTCCAGCTTCCTTCTTTTCCCATTGGCAAATGCGTGAAAAACCTTGGAGTTGGAGTCCCCATTTTCAAGCCATCTTGCATTAGCTTTTTGCTTCCAATAGGCCACTTCTTTGTGAGTAGCTAGTAGCAGCTTGGCGTTGGCCTCCTGGGCTTTCTAATGATTTGCTTCAGTTGGGTATTCCTCATAACACAGTTGGGTTTGGGTTGCTTGATCCTCTGCCAAAGTTAGATTATCAAAGATATTTCCAAACTCCTTCTTGTTCCACTCCCTAAGACAATCCTTTAGATCTTTTAGTTTGGCCACTAGTCCACGCATGCCACCATAGGTGAGACTATTATTCCAACTATCCTTAACCACTGGGAGGAACTGGTTGTGGTGTATCCAGGCATTTAGGAATATGAAGGAAGATGGCCCGCGGTCTTGGCTTGAGTGAAAAGAGAAGAGGACAGCTTTGTGATCACTACAAGCTTTGGGTAAGTGGTGAGTGAAAAAGTTAGGAAAGGATGATTGGAATGCTAGGTTAACCAGGAATCTGTCCAACCTATGCCAAGTTTTCCCACGACTCCTTGTGCCAGACCACGTAAAGAGACCACCAGTAGGGTTTGGACAGAACAGGTTGAATGCTTCAATGCACGAGTTGAACTCTTCCATTCCTTGTGCACTTTGTTCACACGTACCTTTGTATTCTATAGGGGAAGAAATAGCATTAAAGTCACCTCCCACCACCCAATTTTGATTAGTGTTACTCCTCCCCTGCAAGCTCTCCCAGAGATGCCTTCGTTCAACCACCGTGTGAGCCCCATAAACACAAGAGATGGTAAGGTTGGTGTTGGAGTAGTTTACCATGGGAAAGTTGAAGTGAGTTACTTGTTCTTCATCATTAGAGCTAACCAAATGAAGCATGCTAGAATCCCAAAAAATCCATCTCTTGTTATTAGCCGAAGAGAGATGGCTGCTGTAACCCAATTTAAGACCGTAGGTAGAAATGTGTGAGGCCGAAACCTTAGTTTCAAAAAGACAGAAGAAAAAAGGGGTGTGAATCCTCTTGAGGGAAAGTAGTCTGTCAAGGGAAGAGGTCACCCCACAGACATTCCAAAAAATCAGCTTCATTTGGAAACCAACAAGGATACTTTATTAGAGCTCTTACTCCTTGTCTCCATAGCATGAGGAGTATAATCTTTGGAGTTTTTGAGGTACTTTTTGCAAGGCATGGGGGTGGCGCTGGAAGAGGAAATGTCCACCTGGAAGGGACGGAGCTCAGAGCAATCGAAAGGCATATCCCCTTCATTCCCTTCGAAGTGGCAGTACAAGGTGGAGATTTCTTCATCTTTGTCAAGGTTCCCAATATTCACGCACATTGAGGAGGCAAGGGAAGGTTTGCTAACCCAGTAGTCATCTTTACTGAAAAGATTAGAGGCAAGGGAAGGAACTCCTGGAGCAGAAGAGAAGGGGACCAAGGCTAATCTGTCATCAGTGTGATGTGGGGGCAGTGGGACTGAATTGTGTTTATGGGAAGGAGATGGTGTGGAAAGGGCCTCATAATCATTCACATCTTCAATTATGGGCATGAGGAGAGACCAGTGTGACTTTACTTGTTTAGACGTGCTTGGTTGATTCAAAGAGCTGTGAAAAACAGGGGGGACATATGGAAGAGGGATGCCAGTCCTAGAGTTGTCCACATGCTGTTGGACTAAGTTTTTGAAAGGGGAATGATTAGGCCCCGCAGTACATCCCTCCCTACCCAAATTTGGGACTTGCTTGCCTCGTCGTTTTGCTTTTACCCATGTCCAGCCTGCAGAATCCTCCTTATTACCCGCTCCCATGTGGCCCACCTCACCGGCCGGAGCTTTCCCGGTGAGGCTCAAAAGTTTATGCTTCCGGAAGTTGTTGACGGTATGCCCGAAAGTGTAACAAGTAGAGCAGAAATATGGAGGATTTTCAAACTTATAGGGGATCCAGAGATCCTTGCAACCCAAACGAATGTGAACACGGGAGGGTAATTGCAAGGAGGTGTCTCTTTCAACACAGAACCTAGGTTGTTCAGGGAAGACACCAATCACCGTGTTGGAATCAAGTTTAATGGGCTTGCCAAAGAGGGAGGCTATTTGAAAAAGAGCACCATGGTCATTGAGATGAACAGGTAAGTGCTCTAGCTTGATCCATATCGGAGCAATGGGAGAGCCACGGGTTGGGGAGTAGTTTGGGGACCGTTTGGAGATGGAAATGATGATGCCATTGACAATCCAACGTCGCCGGGAGAACCAATGCAAGTAATCTCCTTCCCGTTTGAAGAGGAAGAGGATGTCATTCTTTTGCAGCCTTCTCATCTTGAATTCACTATAACCACCTTTAATAAGGAATGCCTCCAATTCATGTAGCTTGGCTCTACTACTCCAACGCCCCACAAGTCCAAGGGAAAGTGGTTTTGCAAGCTTTTGTTCTTCTTTAGAGGAGAAAGAGATGGATGGAGCACCGTTGAAGATGCCATGGTTGTTTCCAGGAAGGTTTTCTGTATCTTTAGAAAGTAGTTCTGAGAACAGAGTCCTTCTGTTCGGGTGCAAATGGCTTTGGATCTTCGCCGGAGTTTTCACATTTCCGTATTTGACCGGGAATCTAGAGAGAGACATTTAGCCAAATACGGTTTTTTTTGGAAAAATTATCCTCGTTGAAAAAATATGGGATCTTCGCCGGAGTTTTCACATATATATGGGATTTTTGGCTCCATATTTAATTAACGTACCTAGCCCAAATGAAGTTTTCGGGCAAAATAGCTCTGAATTGAATTCTGATTGAACCGACGGATTCGATTCTTCAACCTCAAACCCTACGCAATGGTATAAGTCATTTAGCCAAACAAAAGATTTACTAGAATTACGCTGGGTATGACTTAGTAATTAATCAATTATTTAAACTAATTAGTTGGACTAGGCCGGGTTTTGGGGTGTTACAAAACGGGCCTAAGATCCTTCAGATGAAAACAATCACAAAGACACTATTTAAAAGAAGCACAAAGAGAAATGTTAGTTCCTGCAACAAGAATGTCATCCGTGTAGACCAACACAACAAATTTATGAGGTGTCCTACGGAACAAAAACAAAGTATGATCGACATGTGCCTACTGAAACCTATACTGAAGAAGGGCCAACGAAGTGTTGAAATCCAACTATGAGGACACTAACACAAACCATAAAGAGATTGGCAAAGACGACACAGTGTTCTAGGTAAGCTTTGTCATACTCTGGTGGTAACATTATGTAAACCTCCCGAAAAAGATTCCCATGTAAAAGAGCATTATGCATGTCAAGCTGGTGAACCTCCTGTTCTAGGCTATTGTAAAACATAAGAGAACTCAGACTTTTACCGACATAGCAACGGGTGCAAAATTCTTAGTATAATTCATCCCCCATTCTTGATGATTCTCCATGACTACTAACCTTGCTTTTTCACGTCATTTGGTACCATTAGAAGTATACTTGGTGAGAAAAAACCCATTGGCATCCCAGCACCATACGGTTTTGTGAAAGATCAGTGATCTCCCATGTGTTATTTGGTCCCAATGACATAGTCTCATGTACTAGAGCCTCATGCCATGAGGCCAAGTAAATGGATTCCCCTAAAATCTTCAAAATAGTAACAACATCAATAGCTACAAGATAATCTTTATACCTGTGTGGTAACTTTTCATAACAAACAAAGTTAGTAATAGGGAACTATGTACCTGAAGATAAGGATTTGACATGTAAAGATAAGGATGGAGAAGAGGCCTAAGCTGAGTAACAAATGCAGTCATTTATGTGAGAGTGTGGTTCTTAGAATCAAGCTCGTAAAGGAGGAATGGAAGGTGAAGATGGAATCGGCTTGGAAGGATTACCAATGACAGGAACCAGGGTTTTCGTGGTAATTGTAACACCCTAATCTGTCCAGGTTTGTAGCTCCTTTCAGACTAAAGTATAAACTTGGTATTCGTAAACATTCGAAATAATTCAAACATTTAAAACTTTAAATTATCGAGGATATTAACGGAGTAGTTTAACGTTGCGGAAGGCTAATAAATCACAATTAGAAAAAATAATAATTTTATGTCTTTTTAAACATTAATTCATTTCACACATCCACCTCAACCATCTCACCCCGTCTGCTTTTAAGAATTCATCACTTCATTCTTTTTGTTTACCTACGTGTAGCACATAAAACATACTACACGCTCAGCGGTAAAGCTGAATAAGCATATCTAATGCGTCAAACATCCGTATAAATTGAATCTCAATTCGTAATCAACCATTTGATATCATGCACACAATATACAATTCAAGCATTCATCATTCATGATATTCAATATATTTTAATTCAAGTCATTTTATGCAATATTCAATATTCAATATCTCAATAGTGCTTTTAAATTATTCTTAATCTAAGGCTAAATCATTTTTATAACAAGCTCTTAGCTATTCCTAGTCTAAGGCAATATTTCTAACCGTGCTCTTAAACTATAAATAGTTTAAGGCAGAACACAAGAATCGATAATCTACCCTATGAGTCTTGTGGATTACGTACCAACCGAATAGTGAACTGTCGGGTGGGTGACATCCGGTGTAACACCCCAACTCGCGTAACTGAATAATAAGGTTAGCGAACCGGGTAGTGATCGAGTAGTTTTTTGGAGTATAAACCTTCCCAGTAAAGGGTTAGTTTTATCCCCGAGTTCTCGTTCTCTAGAGGAGTGGACGAAGGGAAATAATTCAACTTCTCTAGTTAGGCGAAGATTTGGATTGGTTTTAGAAGTCTTCTCGATGCGGAAATAAAAGGTGAAAAAGAAATAATAAATACAAGAAAATAAATTTATTCACATAGTACAAGTAGGAATTGGATCTAGGGCCAGGACATCATTTGGGTTTACTTAAATTGATTAAATTAATGATTGGAAAAATCGTATTTCTACTACCACTCATCTATTTCTAGATTCGTGATTACCCTAAACAGATCTTGAATAATTCAGCCTTTCGGCGTAAAATATTTTCTCAATAAAAAGTTAATTAAATATTTCTATATTAATTAACCAGTTAAGGCAAGAGCAAATTCAGAATAAAAATTCCAGCATTAATTCAGTAATAAAAAGCATAACCACAAACTAGCCCGGACCCTAGGGGTCCGAACCCTAACTCATACTATGGAAATAATGAACTAAAATAACGGCATAATACTAAAAGAGATCTACTTACCGTTTCCAGACAAGCAGAATGATAGCACAAAATCTTGGAAAGAGGTCTGGGCGACAAATGCTCTAGAGTACCCCAAAAAATATTCCTAAACTACTAAAATATGAAAAAACTGTAAAAAAGGGGTGTAAAACCCGAGAAAGGCAGAAAGCTGCTGCTGATGTGATCATGGTACGTGACAGGGGAGGGTTCGTATTTATAATAATAGGAGCCCGGGCGTCCCAGCCCCAAGCGTCCCCCGAGGCGTCTGGCTGCGGACGCCTCGGCTCCCGATTCATTTTGGTGGCGACGCGTGGCAATCTTGGGGAAGACGAAACCTGAAGCGTCCGAAAATCCAAGCGTCCCCCCTCCAAGCGTCTGGGCGGGACGCCTCGGCTTCTGGTTCTTGCGGCGCACAAATGGTCTTCAGTGACCTATGCGGATTGGGGTCCAATTGGGCCCCATTTCGTTCCTTTTTGGCCTATTGTGCGAATCTTGATCTAGGAGGAGTCCATCTTTGACCTGGAGTTGATAATTTTACCCTTTTCTCACATAATTAGTCATGAAATGGTAGATTTGAATCGATTTTCCTTAAAGACCCTTTTTATGACTAGTAAAACAAATTAAAGCATTTTTATCCATGAAATGCACAATTAATGAAACGATTAAATATTATTTACGTGCAATAACGCTAAAATATGATAAAAATGATAAGAACAAAATGTTTTTATCAAATTCTTCACACTTAAACGTTGCTTGCCCTCAAGCAACACACTGAATAATGCAAGTAAAAAGGACTATACAGTAATTGCAGAGAAAATGTTCAGACTTTATATAATGTAAGGGCAAGAAGAAATAAAATTGTCATCAACCTTGTTTGTAAAAATTAAAGAAGTTTTCAAATTATCACCCAAATAGGTTAGAAATGTTAAAATATTTTGTCAAACTAATGATTTTAAACTAACCTAAACCACCGAATTTCCTCAACCTTCTTGAAGATAAAAACATTTTACAAGAAATTTGAAAAGATCAAAAAGTTTTTAATGGCTCAACATTGGAAAACCTACTTCTTTTAAGAGTAATTTCCAAAATGTAAAGGTTTCACCCTATTTGATTCATGTCACTTATGCATATTTGCTAAAGAGATTGAGGGTTTATTCCATATAAATACTTGCTCCCTCGCCTTATACGATTAATGGGAGAAACAGAGCCCCTTCACGGAGATAGAATTCCCAATTCGTCACTTAAGCGCAATCCCAATAGGTACTTTAATTATTGGTGACAGAGAAGTATTTCAATGAATTGATAATTATTTAATTATTTCTCTCTTTTTTTTATTATTATATCATCCCTTTACATTTTGAAAAGAAATCTTTTTATAAGCAATGATTTTCAAAGAAGCAAATAAAAAGTGTTTGATCTTACAAATTCTAAATAAAATTGAATTTATTTCAAAGACGTTTTCAGAAACTATTCCCATAAGGTTAGAATAAAATTAAAAGTTTGACAAAAAATTTAAAAATTTTCAATTTTTATGGGTGAAAAATTTAAACACTTAATGAATTTAAACAACTAAAATTGATGACAAATTTATAAAATCTTTACCTAACACATATAAAGGCAGAACAATTCCTAAGAGCATATTTCAACCAGTAACTCATGCCTCCTCACACTTAAACGGAACCACTAAAAAGTGTTTTGAAGACAGAGTTAATGGTTGGAATGTACTCACATGCAAGCACTAATATTTTCCTCACACTTGGAGGATTCAATAGTATGATTGAAATTATAATTTAAGCATGCCATATAACGATGAAGTCAATGAATAGAATTACTTTAGGAAAATGTTTTAACAATCATAAAAACGAGCACTTAATGGGAAATTGAAAGCAAATAACCAGTCATGACTAAATAACTGAAATAAGGTAAATAGGGATCTTCACTGTCCCTGATGCTTCTTTGTCTTCGCGTCCTCTTTGAGCTTGGCCTTTTGCTCCTTCCTCACCCTCTGCTCCACGACGAAGTCCATTATCTCCTCAACCTGCCATTGTTGCGTCTCGACCATGACCTCAATCTTCCCCAGGCGGGATTCCACCGAGCCTTGAAAAGCAAAAATGGCCTGTGAGAGCTCACGGAGTGTCATCGGAATGGTCCTCTGCTTCTTGGGGCGCTCCTCTTCGTCCTTCTTGCCGTATGCGATCTGCACTAGGTAGCCCACATGAGTACGGAAGACGCTGAGAGGCTCGGGAATTACATTGGCAACTTGCATCTTTAATCCTTGGGCCAGCAGGGTCACCAGGGGTCCGCACAAAATGCCTTGGTCCTCCGTGACGGACTGCCCAAACAAGAATCGTGCTACCAATGTTGCCACGTTCACCGGAACCTGCGCATGTAAACTCCAGAAGAACAGCAAATCGGACTCATAGACTATGTCAAGAGAATGGGCTCGTCCAAAATAGCTGTGCACCAGGGTATGGTGCAAGATCCTCTAGGTTGGACGCTTCCAATACATCGAGAAGGTGCGGCCGCTCACGTACATCGCCCGGCCATTTGCTTGCAAGAATTTCTTAGCATTGAACGCGGGATCCAAAGTGTCTGGAAGGCGGGCAAACTCCTCTGTCCTCGTCTCGTCCACGGTGTACAAGCCAATCAGCCAACCTAAATCTGCCACTGAGAGCTGAAACCGTCTGCCGACCAATGTGAAGATCACCGTAGTGGAGCAGGTGACTTCGGCTTAAGCCTTGACTTCCTCCTCTTTATTGAAAAATTGGAGGGAACATAGGAATTCCACGGTGAGTTCTAGGCTGGCTGCTGCGCGCAAGAAAAGCAGGACTCTCCACTTTGGATCATAGAGAAACTTGTCAATTTCTTCCAGTGCCCACTCTCAATCAGGGTCACGGGGTCTAACACCAACGGGGGCTGGAGTGACTTCTGATTTCCCCAGATCAAGAACTTCTTTCTGGCTTCATCGAAGGTGAATGGTAGAGCGTCCAAGTCGCGCAACGTGCGTTGATCACCATGTGGTATCATCCAAGCAGCGTCCATCTGCAAAGAAACAAGAAAAGTAAACAAGTAAAATCTTGCCCCCAAAACTGGTGCGGCAAGTAGAAACAGTAAAGCAAGTAAGAGAAATGTAAATATTTTTGTATTTTTAAATGACGGGTTGCCTCCCGTTGAGCGCTTCTTTAACGTCCGTAGCTTGACGCTTTAATCACTTTTTCCGCGATTTTCCGATCCGGGCATCGTAGAGTTTGGCCCTACGAACTCTTTTCTGATGCTTCCTTGATTGATAATTTGCATAGACAAGGTCCAGGATCCTTGACTTCTCCTTGCGGCTAGGTGGCAGCAGGATAAACGGAGGAGACTTGTAATTGGTGGGTGGTGGCGGAGGTCTCCTCAATAGATCCACAACATTGGCCTTAGTTGCTAGATTGATTTCTATCGAACCTTTAATGGGTTGACTGTCCAATTGTGGCTCAATGACTATGACGTCTTGTACCCCTACAGAAGAGTCTTCCAAGTCACTTAGAAGATCATCCCAGCTCATTTGACTCCAACTATCCTTCGGGCAAACATCGTCATACCTGTCAAGTAGTGAGTCGAAGAAGATTTGGTCAGAGTCTACTGGTGAAGCATTAATTATTAAGGTTTCTATAGACGGAGTTGGATCTTCTGAGAAAAGTATTTCCTCGTCTATAGATTCCTCTTCAGACTCTTTGGAATCTAGGGGGTAGGTAGTGGGCTCTATTTCCTCCAAAACAGGTTCCTATGGAGGTGTGTCTTCAACACAGATAAGAAGAGGTGAGTCTATTGTCACGGAGACAACTTCCTCATCCTTTTCTTCTATTGGGGATTGTAGAGGTGGTTCTGAGTCAGGTTCCTCAGTTGGTTCCACCTTATGTACGACCTTGCCGCTAGGAGGGCATTCAGGTAATTCCATCACAATAGCCTGAGTGAGCAACTGCTGGGTCATGCTATACTCAGGTTCCTGTGCTGGCGCAGGTTCTTGTGAATCTTCGAGAATAGGGTCTAGGTTAATCTCTTCTTGATCAACTTGATGCGGCTCCCATTCTCTTGATTGCTCCAACTCTTCTTGGGCGCGAAGGTCATATTCTGCTTGTTCTTCTAAGAAATTGAGTTTGTCTGATCGAATACGAATATGTTGCTCCATGTGTTTCCTCCAAAACTCAGGAGACAATTCATCATACCGATCATACGCAGGGGACATGAAAAATACGTTGTGCATCGCTAATAATCGATCAAATTCCCTGACCTCATTTTCTTTATCGTCAAATTCCTTCGCATCCCTTTCACGTTGAGCTCTTTCTTCTCGGAGTTGGGCAATTCGGTTAAATCTCCACTCAATGGCCCTCTTGTTCCATTCAAGCTTGAATGCAACAGAGTGGTCATTATAATTGTGGAGGGGAGGGGGTTGATAGGATGGATCTGCATTCATTAATTCCTCATCAAGTTCTTCTCTCCTATTCTCGGCCTCTCGAAGCTCTTCCTCATATGGATTAGGCTGGTAGTCGTACGTAGGCCCATATTGGTCATAATCATATTGATCTCCATGAGGTTCATAATAATCCCTATAGTTATATGGAGAGTTACCATAGTCACTGGGTTGAGAATGGCATGGGGGTTCCTCTTGGTTCGGATAGTAGTCACACCCATTGTTGACTGGATAGTCATCATCAAAATAATTTTGATGCGGGTGGTAGGTTTACTGATATAGATACGGAGGGCAGTTTGGTGGTGGACAGTAAGAAGGCGGACCATAATAACTGGAGTTATCCATAACTATTATGGGTGGATTGTGTAAAAGATGTGAGAAAATCGACCTAACCAATCCTCACCTAAGCTAACCAGAAGAAAATAAATTAATACCGTGCCACTCCCCGGCAACGGCACCAATTTGATCGAGTAGTTTTTTGGAGTATAAACCTTCCCAGTAAAGGGTTAGTTTTATCCCCGAGTTTTCGTTCTCTAGAGGAGTGGACGAAGGGAATTAATTTAACTTCTCTAGTTAGGCAAAGATTTGGATTGGTTTTAGAAGTCTTCTCGATGCGGAAATAAAAGGTGAAAAAGAAATAATAAATACAAAAAAATAAATTTATTCACATAGTACAAGTAGGAATTGGATCTAGGGCCAGGACATCATTTGGGGTTACTTAAATTGATTAAATTAATGATTGGAAAAATCGTATTTCTACTACCACTCATCTATTTCTAGATTCGTGATTACCCTAAACAGATCTTGAATAATTCAGCCTTTCGGCGTAAAATATTTTCTCAATAAAAAGTTAATTAAATATTTCTATATTAATTAACCAGTTAAGGCAAGAGCAAATTCAGAATAAAAATTCCAGCATTAATTCAGTAATGAAAAGCATAACCACAAACTAGCCCGGACCCTAGGGGTCCGAACCCTAACTCATACTATGGAAATAATGAACTAAAATAACGGCATAATATTAAAATAGATCTACTTACCGTTTCCGGACAAGCAGAATGATAGCACAAAATCTTGGAAAGAGGTCTGGGCGACAAATGCTCCAGAGTACCCCAAAAAATATTCCTAAACTACTAAAATATGAAAAAACTGTAAAAAAGGGGTGTAAAACCCGAGAAAGGCAGAAAGCTGCTGCTGATGTGATCATGGTACGTGACAGGGGAGGGTCCGTATTTATAATAATAGGAGCCCAGGCGTCCCATCCCCAAGCGTCCCCCGAGGCGTCTGGCTCCCGATTCATTTTGGTGGCGACGCGTGGCAATCTTGGGGAAGACGAAACCTGAAGCGTCCGAAAATCCAAGCGTCCCCCCTCCAAGCGTCTGGGCGGGACGCCTCGGCTTCTGGTTCTTGCGGCGCACGAATGGTCTTCAGTGACCTATGCGGATTGGGGTCCAATTGGGCCCCATTTCGTTCCTTTTTGGCCTATTGTGCGAATCTTGATCTAGGAGGAGTCCATCTTTGACCCGGAGTTGATAATTTTACCCTTTTCTCACATAATTAGTCATGAAATGGTAGATTTGAATCGATTTTCCTTAAAGACCCTTTTTATGACTAGTAAAACAAATTAAAGCATTTTTATCCATGAAATGCACAATTAATGAAACGATTAAATATTATTTACGTGCAATAACGCTAAAATATGATAAAAATGATAAGAACAAAATGTTCTTATCAGGTAGCTACTAAATTGGTATCCACACACAATATATTCAATAAATTAAAAACATTTAATTAATCATCCAACATTTCAATTAAAACTTGAACGTTTATCGGAGTTAATTCAAAACAGCGCGGAAGCAAAACTGTTATTTTAAATAAACATCTTTAATAAATCATTATCAGAAAACGAGTTACATTACAACCACCATATTTGTTAACGGTTTGAGTCCTGCATCCGTACATCTCCTCCATCTCCGTGCTCTCCTGGATCAGCTTGTTATTACCTACGTGTAGAAAGACGGAACAAACTACACGCTCAGCGATAAGCTGAGTGAGAAATATCCAATGTTAGAATCAATTTCACAGATAGTATCGCATTTATATATAATCAGCAACATCAGTGAACAATCAACATTTATTTTCGGTTACAAGGATCCAACAGTTCCAATTCATTTATTTCTAAAGGGCTATTTCTGTCCCTACAACACTAAGGCTAAATTAAACAGACTAGAGTTACGGACACTCGAGCGGATCCCTCAAGGCCGATGCTCGGACAAACCCAAAGAGAATAATCCTCAATGAGCGGGTTGAAGTCTCTACCAAGGAATCCCTTAGGTAGAACAGTGACTCCCGTACGTACGTTTTTAAACCTGGACCACTGGATATGCAAACACGCTCCACAAGGCCCGAACCTAATAACAATCCTATTGATGATTAAACTAACTAATTCAGTTCAGATCCGCCTAGGTATACTAGGTGGCCACTTTTCAACAGAAATCTCAAGTGATAACAAACACTTGAACATTTTCATAAATAGAACAACACACTCAGCGGCCTATCGGAAGAATCCCTTCTCACTGATTACCATCATGCTCAAACAACAAGATTAAAACCAACAATATTAGAATAACTTACCTGTGTCGCGAACTCGGGACTAAGGACTTATCCTTAGGTTTGCTGCACCCGTCGAAACAGTATCAATTTACACCGGATCAGCGCGACAACCCACCGGACCGACCCAGCAACCTGACCCGCTGCCCCAATTGGGTAGCCCCTTACTGCCGGCCCAAATAGCTCGGTCAACCGGCCCGGGCAGCCCCACCAACCGGCCCGAACAGCCGGTCCGGGCATCCCCGCCAACCGGCCCAAACACACCGTTTGCCCAAACGAGTCGTGCAACAACCCAATTCCAACCCAATTAGACCCAATTGCACAAGAACAAACCCAATTGGACCCAATTGAACCAATTGGGTCAAAATTGGACCCGTCAAATCTGTCCAGCACCACGGTCATAGTCACCACCGGCCACCCGCCGGCCAACCACCGGAAAATAGCCCCCAATCAATCCTGCAATCTAATTCAACACACAATGCACCAAATATTTCACAATCAAACACAAGATTGATACAAACAAGAATCTAATCTACAAATTAACGCTAACAATAGATATTGGGCAATGAATCACACCTCGGTTAATGAAGAAAGCTTAAATCAGAGAGGGGAGATCGCCGCTGCCATGGTTCGGCCGAGCCCACCGTGCGATAGAGTAGGAAGGTCGCCGACGGCGTTCGACGATGGCAGCGACCAATGGAGAATTGCTCGGCGGCGTGGCTACTGCTGGCTGATGAAGGACAACGGGAACCAGGAAGCGGAAATTGGAACGGGAACAGAGCAATGGAAACGAAGCAACGTAGTAAAAGAGAGAGAGAGATACGTATCTTGTAACCCCTCCCTTCCTATTTAATACTCCCTCCGTCTGCCTAAGATGTTCTCATTTTGATTTTTGGTGGTTTTTAAGGAGAGTTGAAAAAAGGTGAAAGTTTACCATAATACCCTTAATGAAAAATGGGTGGAGTGTATTAAATGAGGTGAGTGAGGTGTAATAAATAAAGTAAGTGGGGGTAGTTGTGGTATTTTACTTGTTAAAAAATGAAATGAGAAGATCTATTGTGGACAAAAAAAAAAGGGCTATTGGGAAGATCTATGGTGGACAGAGGGAGTATAATTTAATTATATTTTAGGGTCCAGTTTACACTTTCTAACAGGTTAGGATATGTTTAAGCCCAATTACCTTATTCGGCGGTCGTACCATGGGCCTAGTAGGTCCGATTCTCAATCCGTTTGCGCGGTCGGGTTCAGAATAGCGAAACCTACAATCTAGGTCAACTCTTAAATTAAATACACAAATTAGAAAATAATCTTCGTATTGATCGACTTAGTAATTAATTAATTATATAAATTACTTAAAAATACTAAGCTGGGTTTCGGGGCGTTACATTTCTTCCCCCTTAAAGGAATTTCGTCCCCGAAATTCTTCGAAGATACAAACTTTAATGTTTTGGTTTCACATTTGCTTTACGACTGTGGTTAGGTGAATGGTCACTCCATTTTCAAGAGAATTCTCTTAATTTATTGTTCAAGATATTATCGTAGGAGTTTTGTATTTGTGTTTCGTTCCAGACATGTGACATGTTTGTCGATTTCATAATTAAAACATTCTTGAGTTTGATTCCAACGAACGTATATGGAGTACCTCCATAGAGCATACCAACAATAGTTAAGCTTTCAGATATCATAGCGTCAATTATTTGATCGGTCGTTCAGTTCATATTCAAAGTTCGTTTGTTTCGTTAGCTTATGACGTGAGCATAAGATCTTTTCGATATTTCTCGTTGATGAACGGGATTGTAGCAACGATCACACCTCCCATGTCGTCAACAATTGAGTCTAAGAGAGTTTGTTTCACCGATATGCTCTTCGAGCGTTAGAAGTTATTTCGTAAGTCTGTCTCGAGTTGTTCTTTTCCCTATCGCGTTATCAAGTCACGATTCTTGTAGCATATTATCAAGGTCAGTTTAAAGGCATTGCAAATTCATACTTGGATTGCTCTCGAGTGGAGTCAGGTACTAATGTCCACATCTACGAATTACTATTCGGTTATTATTCATGTTCGACTATGTTTTCAGGTCCTTAACGTTTTGGTTCGTTTTGCTCGGGTCTATAACAAGGTATATTCTTGGTAGTCATTAACTCGATCATCTATTAATCAGTGTCTCTCTTTCTGAGCAGAAAGAAGATTCTTCAACATGTGGTTACATTCACAATTTTCGATAACATCGAGGTACTTAGGGCTTACGAATTTCCGTTTTAGGAATTCGGTTAATAGATTCAAAGGAGAATGAGGACGTGGATTTTCATGCCCCTTTGATAGAAGGCAGAGATGCAGAGGGAAAATTGGAGTTATATAAGGGAGAAACAAAAAACCGCAACACCTCTAACGATTTGTTTCCACCACTATCAAAAAGTTTCTTATCTCCTTTTGCATCCTCATTTGTACCACTTTCGTATAACAAGTTTGCTGTTCTACACAACGATATGGACCGGGAGTCAAACTCATTACGCTTGGAGGATGAGGATCCTTTTTCAAAGCTAAATGACCAAAGCTTGGTTTTATACCTTAATGCAGTGGAAGATCACACAAAGGAAAGGGAAGGGCCCATTCTCTACACATATTCAGAGGGAGAGGACTTAGTTTTCATTTACTCTATGCTTAAGCCTCTTCAAATTGACCTCTCAAGATGCCCCAAGCACCATTTATATCTTCGCAAGGAACTCAAGGGCAGAAAGACTTATTCCCCTTCACAAATTGTGACACGAAGGAGGGCCAAATTACTAGCACAAGGTAGAAGGATCACACAAATAGGATGGGAAGAGAAGCAAGACCTAATTGATCCCTTTGTCTCATGAGGATGAGGTAATAAATTTTTTCAAGCTCTGCTGTCCAAACAAAAAAGAAGATCTTATCCCTCCTAAAAAGCCTATGACCAAAAGTCAGAAAAAGAAGTTGAAAAAGAAAAAGAAACATAGAGAGGTATCTGATATGGGTTATGATGATGAGGATTTCTTTGATATATAATATTTTTGCTGATTAGTAGCTGTTGTTCTGGTGGTTTTTCGGTATAGTTTGCTCCAATTAGATTGGCTAGTTTTTTAGATGTTATCATGAACTCAAATCAGCTCTTACCATGGATTACTATTGAAAGTTGTGGTTTCTTATTCTCCACTTTACATTCTAAATCACACCTCAGACTTGAGCTTTACATGCAAGCCCCTACTTCCCTTTTGGAGCAATTCGAGATGCAAGTCAAGGTTTTTTTAGCAGCATTTTAGGTGTCCTTTATGTCACTGGACTTTCACCAAGAAGGCCTGGCTTATTTGAGGATTGAAGATTGAGGAATGGTTTGGGTATGATAGTTGGGACTGCAAGCTGCGCATTTGGAATAGGGCAGGAAATTTACTTCAAAAGCATAAAGGTAAAAACGTTGTAGGGGGACCTCATTTGTTGGCACACAACTCTGGGTCTTCTTTATAGGTTTTTGCAAGCTAAATGTTAGGAAACAGGGGGAAGGGCATTCGGGCAAGGAAAAATGAAGCACTGCATTGGGTTTGGGTTCAGGGTGTGTTTTCTATTATGATGTTGGCTTCGGGTAATTTGGAGCCTCTTTGTGAGAAGGCAGGAAGTCTTGGGTGAGTGGCTGGAAGATTTTATTTGTCCCTTGCCTCTTGGAAATGGAAAGATATAGATTAGGAAACTTTAAGAGGAACAAGACATTTTTGCTGGGCCTACGAGGTAGAAGTTTGAGTCAGTAGCCAGCTCCCCTTATTTGTTGTACTGAATTTGGTCTTTTGTTTTAGCCCCTTCGTCTTTTGTTTTGGCCTTTTCTTGGGGTCGGCCACCCCCTCCATTTGTACTTCTTTTTTCTCCTTTAATAAAATCTTTTCCTTTAAAATAATATATATGAGAGAAAGCCGCGGAAAACATCGAAGGCGAAGGCGAAGGTGAAGAAAAAACTGAAGAGGCTCCCGTGGAAAAGCCCCGGAAAACATCGAAGTACATGACAAAATATGAGAGAGCAAGAATTCTAGGCACTCGTGCTCTTCAGATCAGCATGAATGCTCCTGTGATGGTGGACTTGGAAGGCGAAAGTGATCCTCTTGAGATTGCGATGAAAGAGCTACGTGAAAGGAAGATTCCCTTCACCATTCGCAGGTACCTGCCTGATGAAAGCTATGAAGATTGGCCTGTTGACGAACTCATAGTTGAGGACTTGTGGAAAAGGCAAGTCGGAGGAGATTAAAGTAATTTTGGGGAGGATCTTGCATAATGATGATGCACCATGTACTAAACTAGACCAGACGTAAATGATATTAAGCGATTGTTACTTGGAAGTGTGTTGCAACCTATATTCACTCTCATTTGAAGGATTTAAAAGACTAATATATATATATATATATATGTATATATATATATATTTTTTTTAAGCGAAAGGAGATTTTATTAATAGAAACGAAAAGAGGGAAATCGCTCGTTATATAGAGCGGACTTTACAATAGAAGGACAAGAAGTAATGGTACAATATTCAATAAAAACTATGTCTTTGCCTCTGTCTTCTTTAGCAAGTAAATCCGCTGGGTGGTTGCCTTCTCGGAGGGTGTGAGATACCCAGATGTTGTTATCATGAATGAGAGACCCCAGAGTGTCAATAGGGAAAGGAGAGGAACGATGATGAACGTATCTGTTCAGCCGTAAAGTTATCTCTTTGGCATCTGTTTCATAGATGAGATGTGCATGGAATTGCAATGCCCAAGTGAGACCTTTTATTGAAGCTGCCAGCTCTGCTTGATATGGTGTTTGAGCACTAACTTGGAAGGAAGCTGCTCTAACGAAACTGCCTTCTTCATTTCGAATAATAGCAGCACCACGAGATGACGTCATGTTGAAGGAAGCATCTATGTTGATTTTCAGTCTGCCTTTGGGTGGAGCTAACCATTTTACCATTCTGGGCTTTGGGTGGTTGAGAAATCGAGGGAGTAAGCCTTTATTTTCCAACCATTCATCAGCAACTCTGAAATTTTTAGGGCATTTAGCTAGGAGCCAGAGTTT